TTTTGGGCAGTACAACTGCTGTGGGCTTCGGTTTGCCTCATAGTGGTACCTGGAATATCAGGTAATCCTGATCATAGTTAAAGCCATCACGATTCCTGTGGGACCAGGAATATTTCCTACTCACAGCATACTGTAACTTCTGCTCTTGTGCTATTTCAGCACAGGAAATAACTCAGGGATAAAATTTCAGGGTAGATTGGGAGTGTGTAGAATTAATAGCTTCAGCTCCATGAATACCACGTACTGCAATGTGTCATGTGGCCTGCTTGGTACTGGCTGGAGGCACTACCAATTGGGTCCAGTTTGTGTGACATGAGGACATCGCCAACCTTTCAAGCTCCAGACCTGTCTTGGCAACTGTCTGGTCCTGCCTCAGTCCAGCTCCTAACAAGACCAGTGGGAGTTTCAGCTGAGACAGCCTCCGGGATGTGGCCTATTTAATCTGTGGCAAATATCACTGTGTGGGCCTTCTGCCTGCCAAATCCTGGGGACTGACTTTTTTGGGAGGCAAAAAAGCTGTATTTGTTGGGCTGGTTTTTTCCCAGGTGGATGCAGGTAATTATTTTCCATTACACAGCACACACAGAGAGGCAGTTAAAATTTACATGTAAATAGTCGTTTTGAACAGTTTAGAGTGTGTGTGTGTGTGTGTGTGTGTGTGTGTGTAAAATATAACTGCAAAGACTGTTTTTCTGTAAAAGCTCATCGTTTGATCCCTTTCATTACACTGAATGGAGTACTGCAGTGTAAGTAGATCTACTGGCATCTCTTTAGTCAGATGCTGTTAAGGGGAAGAGTGTCACTGTAAGGGTCAAACAGGGACCAAATATAACTGGCAGTACATACAGAAAGAGTGTCCTTTATGAAAAATGTTTCTTATTTTACTGTTCTTGTGACCAAATGGAATTGGTGTCTCATGCACATTAAAGTTTAGGTACTTTGAGGCACTTCCTACATTACAGTTTTCAATCCACTCATTTAATTGACTTTATATAAAACCACAACTCAATACTTGAGAAATGACAATAGTGATCATTAAATCATTCAGGTGATGTTGAATTGCTCCCACTAGCACAAGAGCAGCCCATACCTTTCCAGTGAGTTTGTACAGTCAGCTCTCAAACGTGGCCCAGCTGCAAGCAGAAAAAAGATGGAGTAACCTCCTGAATGTTGGCACTGCACTGTCTGTGGGAGGCCCCATCACTCTGGGAGGTTTTGGGAGAGTTTGTGTTTCTGCTTTTGCAACCACCTCCAAAACCTTGAGCAAAAGCTAAAATCTGAGGCTCAATTTCCTATTTTGACATTAGCAAGCTCCTGTCCTGCAGCCCTTGTGATGAAGTCAGTGGTCACTTAATGGTTTTGAGACTGATACTAATGGGAAGGTAAGGAAATTCAGACCCCTGAATCAAATACTTGATGTATGATGAGTCACACATGGGTGAAATTTGTTACCTTTGAATACAGAAATACCTCTCTGCAAGCCAGTGGTCATTTAGTAGGTCATTTGCGCCTTACGTTTGGTGCTGGGAAGGGGTCACTTGCTGCAGGAAGAGGGGGCTGGGACACCATTTGCCAGGAAGGTGGGTGAAATCCCTGGACTGTGTGATTTGTGTTGCTTTGATCAAGGAGGCACAGGAGCATTCCACCTGCTGGTGATTCTGCCAACTGACTGTTCAACCTGCAGGCACACATCTCCCTCCACCCAACCAGCAGATCACCCTGACCAGTATAAATGGTGAATGGTTTAGTCAGTGTTAAAAAACCATGAACATTATGTTTATTTCTCCAGCAGAATCTGTTTCTTTCACAGACTTTCAGTTGCTTCTTTACTGAAGAGTGAAGTCTTTATTTCAGACATCTGCCTATAGAAAATAAGGATTTTTTAAGAGCACATTTAAAGATGGAAACTGAGGCTTGAATAACTTAATCAGCATACAGATTACACAGATATAAAAGTTCTCTTTCATTGTCTTAACTTACAGTTTATTTTGAACAGAATTCATTATGTTATACATCTAAGACTTATTATATTGTATAAATACCTTGGGTGTGATGTATATACATATTCAGTGTTATAGATTCAGCAGTTAATGTATGCATTTCACAATACACTGCAGTGTATTTCAATGTAGTGCACATGATTTATATTTCAGAAAAGAGCATATCCGCTATAAAAAGTTATTTCATTCATAGGGTACTCTACCTTGAAATACAGGGGTTCCATTGAATAATGGACTGTTTGTACTCTGTCGTATGGCTGTAAGGTTTTCTTGTACATTCCCCAGTATGAATTAAGAAACAGCAGCTCAAAACGTTAATCTCTGTGGTTCTACGTCAAGAGGAGAGCAGGGCCCTGGTTTCCTAAGTTCGTTCTTGCTTGACTGGGGAAGAAGGTAGAGACACACGGAGCTGGGCTGTGCGTGATGGCCAACGGAAAGAAAACCTTCTGCACAGGTGAGAATTACTGGCTTCTCTGTTCTTTTATGCCACTGTGCAGCTGCCATAAATCACTCACTCTCGTTACAAAAGGTGGCATCAGCTTTATTTTTAAGGTCTGCAAACTCCCCGTGTTCCATTAATCCACTCTTTGCCTGGGTGTCTCCTGCTCTGTGTGCTGACAGTGCGCGCTGTCCTTCCTCAACAGCTGGCACACAGCGTCTTCTCTAGACGTGCTGGGTTTGTTCAGCAGTAAATTACAGGTGTTGCTCTTCTGGGCACCTACTGAAGCATAATGCTAATTAATCTGTCAGAGTAGTTTGGATGTGCTCTTTTAGACAGTCCTAGTTTCCTGCATACATACATACACATGGCGCCTGTTGATCATATGTGGCAGCCTTTGCTTTGTACTCTCGAAAGCACAGACTCTTTTATCGATGTATAAGTGCTGTTCATTTAACAGCAAAAAGAAATATTATATATTCTATGAATAAAATACCTGATTTTAAAAGAGGAATTAAAAAAAGTTCAGGTGAATCAGCAAATTGTGGGGGCGTTTAAAATAATTTTAAATTAAATTTACTCCAAGTATGTCACAATTTTGAAATTAAAGCTATTTAATTTTTAAAGGACTGATTAGCTCAGAACCGTATTTTGTATTGAATCTGTTCATCTAAATTCTTTTCAATTGTGTAAGAAGTAGCAAAGTGCTTAAAGCAGCGTAAGTCCAGAATAGCTCTGCTTTACTGGTGTAATTACTGAGAACAGAATTCTCACTTCTTTTGGTTTTTTGTATTGCCATTTTCCATGTAAGAACTTGCATGTCTCAACATGGGATGTAAAATAACCAAACCAAAAAAGAAAGGCTGTATGAGCTGCAGTTGCAGATTCTTTTTCTCCTTGTTGACAGATTCTGGTGGCTTCTAGCAATGACCGCACTGCACACAGGGCTGTCCTTCCCCCACGTACTTAAGTGTGCAGCCTGAATGTACAGCCACTGGTAGGTACAAGTAGGGGTTAGGCCTCAGGTACAAGTTCAAGGACACACCAATGTGCCAGTGGTGAGCACTCTGACTTAGTGATCATCTTCAGTCTTTCAAGTCATAGTCCTTGAGCATTTCCTGACCACGTAAATAAAGTTGTTGGTTTCCACTGGCTATTAATGAGTCAAAGAGCAGCTCTGCACACCGACAAAGGCATCCATTTATTGTCTCCCTCTGTGGCACTGACAAGGAGAGGTCAGCATCCACATGTGTACTGAGCCACAGTGCAGAAACAGGGCATGGAGTCCAGTACACTGCTGAGAGATCACAGTTCCACTGGTGAACTGATGGTATGTGCTCAGGAAAATAGCTCTGCTGTTTGCCCTCTGCAACTGCCATCAGCAAGCTGCTCCCTCTGATTTCCAGACTAAACTTATTTGTGATTGATTTATACTCACTATTGTGCAGACAATACTCTTGCTTTATGGTTGGGCCACATACAAAATAACGTGATGGAAAGAGATGTTAAACTCTAAAAAGGGATTTTTATGTTGGTAGTAATAAGGTTCATAGTAGGAATTAATATTTCCTTATGAGGTCTGGATCATTTAAGGAGGAGGGAACATTTGTTAAACAACCCAAGACTTCATTTGATGCACAAGTGCTGCATCCCTTATGAAACAGAAGTATCTGTGTGCTCTATTATTTTCTCTACTTAAAATTAGATTATAACAGATGCCATCCCCTCACTGTGCAGTTCGGTGCCAGCAAACGTAAGTCTCTCATCACTTAGCTAAGCCTGATGTTCTCACTTTCTAGACTCACCATTAAAATTCTCATACTTTGCAGCAGTTACATTAAACCTGTTCCCAGTTATGGATTAGGCTGCAAATGCAGGATTTCCCATGGTTAAGGTGGTCTGGTCCATTCTAATAGCAGAACTGAGTTCAAATCCTGTCACGAACTAAGTTATGTAAGGCAGTTGTAATTTGGATCTTGTGTTTATTGCACAGGATCCATCACAAGAACATGTGCTTTATTGGTTTTGTTGAGTATTATGTAGATTCATTTTTTTCTAGCTGTGATTTTCAACTTATTTGAGTCATCCTTCAGTACAAAAATACATGTAATGCATATGAAATGGAGCTTTGAATCTCCAGCATATTTCCCTTATTAAACTTGAGAATAGTCACGTCACTTTGTAATGTGCCCAGTGTGTCTTTTCTTTCCTTCTTCCCTTCTTTAATGAAGTAAAGTGGTGTAAAGTTTTTAGTGTCTTTACAGTCAGAGATGTTTTAGACTATGTCTGGACATTAACTGTTGAGCATGGACTTCTTTGTCCTGCTGAACTCTACAGTTGGTGTCCTAATTAGTGCAGAGCAACACTGACTCCAAGCTTTTACTTGCTAGGAAATATCCTTCCTATTCTCTGCATTTCGATGCTGCATGTGACTTTCTTATTCTGATGATAACGTTTATTGTCAACCCCGCTGCTGTTTCAGGAAAGCAGTTTCCTTTGAAGTATGTGCTGTTTTGTTGTAGGTTACTTTCACAATAGCAATGACAAAAGTAAACCCAGGGTTACTCCTTGATTTTTATTTTCCAGGGTTTATTATTGTATTTACATTTCCCTGTAAGAAGATACAACCCTTTCCCAGTAAGAGTTCTAATACCTTTCTATGTTTCAAATACTAACGACCCATGTACCCATAAGAAAAGGAGAAAGATAATTGGTGATGAAAGAGGTATCTCTAGGGGCTGATGCAGATGAACAGAAAACTTAAATCATTATAAATATTACCATACTACACTTTGGTACAACCAAAAGAAACCTCCAAAGCAAATATTTAATGTTTCCTAAGTCAAATAATATTCATAAACAATAGGAAAAGAAATTAACCACATGGGGTTTTTTATATCTGTAAAAAATAAGACAACTACTTGGCTGCATTGCACATAGGCAATAAAATTAGATTCATTCAGATCCCTTTTAATGTAAGCCTTGTTTCAGGCTGTAAGCAAGAAATGTCTACTGTGCTTTACAAAGGACGACAACTAGAAAAATCAATGCAAACAAGTATCCCTTTCTTTTCTGATTTACCATTTATCATGAGAGATGACAATGAAGTCTCCTCTGAGTCTGAGCGCAGTTGTATTAGCATTTTGCTAGTACCAGGCAGTATACAAAAACAGCCATAGTGTGTGACACCTCCAACACCTACAGGTAGCTGTTTTAGGGGCACATCCTGGTTTGTGGTGAAACAGGTTTAACTCAGCCAGCCTCTTGTACCTGCTCAGTGATATCAGGTTATCATCTCAGTAACTCCAAAGTTGAGCTGTCTTGTTCCTATTGCTGACTGGACTGACTGCTCCACCATCCATAAACAGAAGGCATAAAGGTGATTACAAACATAAGAAAGTAGTTTTACATATTGTCTTGCAGTCTTTCCATATAGTCCCTAAGTTCCTTGGAATCACCAAGATTCATATCTTGGCATACCCATTTAATATTATCATCACTGTCAAATAGAATTGAATTGGTGTAGGGGCCTCCATCCTCTGGCAGTATTGTTGTATATGAAGTGAACTTTACTCGCTTCTGCTTTGGCCCAGAAGGATTTATAGGTTCACTTTTAACTTCTTTTTCACAAAGGTACTCAGAAGATCTGAGGATATGATTATGAAGAGTCTTCTGAGAGCTCCCATTAAGGAGAAAGTTGCTTTCTTCAAACTGCATTCCTCTGTCAATCATGGTAGTGCACTCCTCTGACGGGAGCGAAATGTCAACTGTGTTTTCCAGCAGTTCAACCTCATTTCCAAGCCAGACCCAATCATGGGAATGGGGGATATTGCCTTGCTCACTCACAGCAAACCTTTTATGCCTGTACTTCCAAGCAAATGCCACACAGTTTATCAAGAAGACCAAGATTGCTAAGCAGAAAACACACAGCAGAGCATACATGCCAATCTCCAAATCTGTTAATCCTCTTGAAGTCAATGTGAGATCACTGGGATTGTTTTCTCCTGGTATTTCTACTTGCACAGGGAAACCTGTGAAGGCAGTTGGGTTATTTTGGAGCTGGCCATCCTCCAGGGACTCCTGATCAATGGGATATACGAAAGTTGTGCTTTTGTTTGCATTGTCCTCATGACTGGACATGTCCTCGTGGTTTTTGAACCACTCTTGTACTGTCCTCTCTTGTTCAGCAGGTTTCTCTATAGAATTGATTGCATGGCTTTTAAAATCTCTATCCGTATCATCAATGTCATTAGTGCTTCCTTTTTGGTCAGAATCTTTTTGACCAAACTTCACTTTGACGTTTCCTTTCCCAACAGCTAGAATGCTCTTTCGCTTAGTCTTCTGGCATGGCTCACTGATGACCATTTCAATTTTAATCAGAGGTCCTTGCCCATCCCCTTCTGCCACCACCACAGGCCATCTGGACTGAAGGTTTTGGTGTGTAGACACTACCATCTCATCCAGTGAGGTGACAGTGATCGAGAAGTCCTTGGAGTCATAGATGTCTAATGGTGTCACTGACCCATCGCTGAACAGAATCCACACACTGACTATGGCTTCCTGCAGGGAGAAGGCACAGTGTGGGAAGTTAAGGGACAGGTAAGAGAGCACACATCAGACACTCAGATATTTAGGTCTGTTTGACACTGGCAAAATAATTACACAGTTTAACATTGGTTTGTAGGGTTTTTGTCAAAAAACATCTGCTTTGCTCCTCATTTTCTTCTTACAGATTTGTGTTCTCTGGACCACTTACTCAGGCATTTCTCTCATTTTCAGGAACTACCAAAGACAGGCATCTAAATGTAATAATAGGTGATGACAAATATGTAGGTTATTTTCAGTCTGAACTGAGCAGCCTCTTTTGAATGCCAGAGCCTCATGGTGAAAATAATCCAAATAATGAGTATTTCCAAAGTCCTGGTTAATAAATTTTATAAAGGACTTACAATAGGGAATTTCTGTAGTACTGCAGTTCTAATGCCAGTGATAATGTAACATGCAGAGCTGTTACGTGTTGAAATGCTGTTCCCATTCAGCCCCTTGAAACAGTTTACATTAAGAACACATCTGAATGCTGTATGCTGGAGTTTCTGTCATCACTTTCAAATACAGAAGATTACACAAAATACACAAGTGATGATAGCCTTTTCTGGGAACTAAGGAACACTTGCAAAAATATCGTTTTTAAGGATGTTTTGACCAGAGCAAGTCTTCTTACTGCAGACTGCTAGTGTTAAAAAGATAGTTACACTTTCTGCCATGATCTAGAGTCTCAATTCTATGATAAATACAATGAAAAAGATGTATAAAAATTAATTCTAGATACTATTTTGGATCATACCTGTTTCGGAGTATGAAGAATATCATATGCAGAGGTGGTAGAAACGATAGCTCTCTTGCTTCCTTTGCTGACTTGTAAGGAGATGGACAAGCCTGAGACTAGTTGTACGCCTAGATCTGTAATGGTTACCCGGTCATCTAGAACGATCACTGTCTTCTCTGCCAGGATGGAATCGGAAAGAGGTGACAGAACCTTGAAAGAGAAAGCAAATATCTTGCCTGAAAGAGCAACTAGCTGCTTTAAAGCAACATTAGACTGATTGGCCCAGTACTCTGTATTGATCTTGGGGGTGTCACATCCATGTGTAAGCTATAACCGATGTTCCTCCCAGGACTTTACACTTATTTGCTGCTAAATTACTTTAGTTACAAAAATAATTTAATAAAACAACTAATCATTTCAAAACTGCATCTTCACGTCAACTATAGAGTATAGATTAAATGGATTTGGTTTACAGAAGTCATTTTTGTGTGAGGTATAAAGCTCCCTGTGAATGCAGTTTAACATGAGGCGTAGTGTAAGACACTGATGAACGCTGAAACTCAGTAAGGGAATAAGTAAGTGTTACAAAGCCTGGCCGATTGATAGGAACTTGGCCTGATGCCTTTGTAGGGACAGAGGACCTGAATGAAAATGAAAGAGAACTTTGAAAATCCCACTGGGTGCCCATCTGCATTTTTCAAAGCCAACACAGTCCTATCAGTTTGTTCTGAGACCCTGTTTCTAGCATGCTCAGAAAGAGAGTCATTGTTCTGCTGATGCCAGAAACAGCTGATTCAAGCCCAAAATATTTGAGATGTGATTTGGCTAAACATGAGAAATCCCCAGCACAGCTCCTTGCATAGGAGCTTGCTGCCTGCTGCTCTCTTGTAGTCACTGGAGTGAAAGATGCTTTTCAAGGGCAGAAATCCCTTGACCTCTCTGTGATGTTTGTTTTAGGCTGAAAGGAGCTGAGCTCTAGAAGTACCTGTTCCTTTGTGCTGACTACAAAGGAAGCCTAGTGTGACTGGACATTACGGATGCTTGCAGTTAAGAAGAGCACCAGTGCTTGTATTCCTTTAGTGTGACTAAGAAATATGTATGAAGCTAGAGAGACAGGCAGTGATCATGAACACTGAAAGATTTCTGAAGGTTATTTTTGTGTCCATTTTGTGAACATAATGGGACTAATTTTTCAAAGACATTTAAGCATATAAAGATGCATATATGTCTCTGGTAAAACTCCCCAGCAGTTAAGTTCACAAGGTCCCACTTAAAAGGAGCTAGGTGTGTGCAGCATGGAACCCACTTCACTGTTCAGAAAATCTCACCGTGTTGCTTGTCACATTAATGTGGATAAATTCCATCAGGATTCACCTAAAGGTATTTTACAGAAGTTATGAAAACCCGCTCAAACTTCCTTTTATGTTTTTATTAGCTTATTACTTTTTTCCTGAAAACAGTCTGCTTTCTAAGCTATCTACTGTGTGTGTGCACCCAGAACTCCCTCTGTGGAAGCTGCAGATACATCATGGGCTGTACCTGAACCGTGGTGATGCCTTGCTCACGACCAACCAGAACTCGGCCATCTTGAAGCTTAGCAATCCTGGGTTCTTCCACCTTCATGAAATCAGCCACAAGGTCAGTGATGTCAAACTGCCACTCAGAGCCCAGCATATAGGTCAAGTGGCCTCCAAACTCAGAGGATTCAGCTACAAACTGTGTGAGGACTCGCACCATGGCGTGCTGATACTGGAGGGTGCAACCTTTCCCTTTTTTCTCATCATCCTCTTCATCCTCACTGTCACGGGTAGGCCTGTAAATAGATCCAGGTTTGTTATCTGCATCGCCATGATCTCCCTACAACACTACAGTGCTTCATTGCACAGTATTTTCAGTTAGATTAATGTTGTTATCGTCTGCTGCTGTGTGAAAAACAGGAACCCAGATTGTGGATGAGTAGGTTACTGCATCTGGGTGGGGTGCTTCTACAGCTTTTCTGTGCTGTACAATTTAAAAGCTACTGTCACTTCTGTTAATGAATTCCTTGTTTGAGTGGGACCTCCCAGCAACCTGAAAATACGTTTGCTATGGCTGACATTTCAGTGGCACCACTGCTTGTTCACCGTGTCTGCAAGCGGGAGCCAAATCCTGCACAGGGCTTTCCTTAGCAACGGTAAGTGTTTATGAGAGGACAGTCTGGGAACAAAGCCCTGTGGCAGCTCAGTGGGGATGGGAGAAGATGTTTTAGCATCCTTTCCTTCACCTTTGCCCATAACATTTGTATCACCTTCCTCCTCTCTTCAAAATTCTTGTAACACATTCAGGATTCCCTGCTTTAGGTAATGCCACCACACCTGATCCCACATGTGTAGCTCATAGGTTCATTAAGCCTTCTGCATTTGAGAAATACACTATTTCACCTTAAATCTTAACACAGTTTGTGCAAGTGTCTGGTATATTTAGTCAGGTAATGACCACAAGGGGCTTCCACTCAAGACACGAGTTACTTAGATTACACCATGCAGAGCGCTGAGGCTACCACTCGGCCCACAGAAACAACAGCAGCATTAGGCACTTTAATGTTTCTTAACTACCAGTCCCCCTCTGCAAAATACAACCCATGACAACCTAACAGCTTCCCATAAACCTTCTGTAAGGCAGCTCAGTGATTTGTACCTGACAGCTGTGCTGTCACACCTCACAGAGCTTTGTCTGGTTTAAAACCCCATTTCCCATCAATTCTTTTCCTGTGTGTTATTATTTATTCCTTGGGACAAACACATGGATTCTCTTACCTCTGTCAAGTCAGGTATTAAGCACTGGGTGGTTACACTTTCACTCATTATGCCCCATGCTGTGGAATTCATTGCTCAGATATAATTTGCCTTCTTCCTTTACTTATTTATTGAGCCTGAAGCCACCTCCATCGCAAGGGTGAGAAACTCAGGGTAAGCCTCTTATTTTTCACAGTGTTTTGGGGAAGTAGTTTTGTGTTTATTGCATCCCTTTATCTTCTCCTTTGAAATACTAGCTATGAAAAACTATTATAAAACAGAATTGCTTGTGTTATAAATTGCTTTATGACGAAGCTGGCAAACAGCGAAAACATATCTAAGAAAAGCCCTTGTTCTCTTCAAAATGATCGAAAGTGCTGGTGTTACAGAATCTAGTACACCGGAAATACATTTTCAATGCACCACTTGGTAGCTGAATATATATATTTGGCCTAAAGTAAATGGTATTTGGTACAGCCTTTTTGGTTCTGTGTGTGCAGAACAGTGTCCATCCTTAGTGACTGAATGAAACGTCACTGAATAACACTGAATTATTAAGAAAAAACCCGGATCCTAAACCAGGATTTATTTGCATAAATTAATCTTGCAGAATTGGACTCGCTGGGTGGTTCAGGAAACTTCAGTTGTTCTCTCCTTCCCCACACACAGGTCAGTCTGGACTATGAACTGAACCAGCCAGGCAGCAAAGCAGATGAAGGGAATATTCATAGAGCTTACATGGCCCATGGCTGCTTAGATTGCTTTTGGCTTGTAATGCTTACAAAGAGTTTATGAACTCTGCAATGTTCCCACATCTGACTCCTGTATTCTGACCCCCTTCAGCCCATCTAAACCATAACCCAGCTCTGATAACCACAGACTTTGAAAACCAGCTTTAGCGCCAAGATTCGTGGATTTAAGCCTTTTTTAGTAATAGAGACAGTAACATTAGTACCTGTGCAGAGCTGGAGAAAAACGCACAGAAGCTGTTCAGGTGAGAAGTACAGGGTTTGTGTTCAAGAGGAAACAGACCCAAAGCAACTTCAAGGGAAAGAATTGTGCAGCCCGAGTCATACAGCCCAAAAATTGGGGTTGTGGGAAGAACGACCAGAGGCGAGGAGCGTTGCATGAAGGCTTCTGCCTGTCTTAGCAGGCTGAAGAGTGGGGGCAGCCAGTACTACCAACCACAAAAAGACGATTCAGGACCAACTCTTTCCTTGTGTTACCTCTAACAAACAAAGGTAAGGGCTCAATTTCATTACAGAAACATTTATAAGTGTTTGTGTCTGTACAGTTCTCCTTAGAAATGCGTGTAACTGTGGAACAGCAGAAAAGCAACCCTAAAGCATGGAAGAATGGGCAAGGCGCTTTCTTACACCAGTGCAAAGTGAAGACAGAGGTTTGAATTTTCAGTAGAAGCTTTGCAAGTCTGCATCACCAGGTACCAACTCCAGTTCTTGTTTTAGTTGAACAAATGATATAGATTTCTACTTCAAAGCCGCAAATCCTGATTCAGTAATCACAGCACTTCAGTACTTTGTCTCCATGGGCACAACAAAATGTTTTGAGATCCACTGAACTGCATAATTCCCTTTAGAGTCTTAAACTTGTTACAGTGTTTTCAGTAGGCTTAAAATCCTCCATTAAAGCAGTGAGCTCATTTTCTTGTTAAGAGCTATCCTCATGAATATGAGCTCTTGCTGCATACTGTGCTTCCCCCTGCCTTGGTCATCGCTAAGGTTAGCTCTGGATAGCTCTCAGGGTCCTTCTTATCTGATTTCTTCCTGTTTGGCAGACTTGCTTGGAAGATTTTTTGCTTTCCTGTAGTGAACCAGTGTTGCCAGAATTACATGGGATTTACATTTCACACAGAGAAAGCCTTTGCCAGAGAGCTGAGTTACAACAGCAGCCCTGTTACAAGGGTGCCTGCTAGCACTGATCTAATCAGTGATCTGTCAACTTTACATTATAGACGCTGCCTGTGAGCTGTTTAAGTATGTCTCTTCTAATTTCCACCACTCTCAAACCGGCTTGATGTTCTTGGGCCAGATTTCAATTTTCTGTTACAAAAAAAACCCTAAAGAAATCAGTTTTGCTGGTTTTGAATTTAAATGTTCATTAAAGAGTTGTGTACTTAAAAAACCATTGCAATACTTTAATTGGGGGGGGAAAGAAGTAATTTTGGACACAGAACACAAGCCACTGAAAGTTGATTTAGTGGAAGCTACAGGAGTAAGTTACAGATAGCTCCAGCCACAGTTCAAGAAGAAACACAGTTCAGTACCTTTACATGCCTTGAAAATACTGTCTGCCTATTTACAAACATCTCTATGGCCTTATCTCCAAAGGTCATTAGAGTCAGTTAGTTAAGTAAAGGAGGGAATTTACAGCATGTTCAAGCACTGTGTGGATGTTACTCACAAATGGAATGATCTGAACCTGATTTCACTTAATTCACCTTCAGTTATGGCTTCGTTTTTAGTGGCAGCAGTCACACAAAGCTTTACCTGAAGCAGCTTGTTTTTTCCTGCATCTAATTTAGGCTTACTTCCCTGGTTTTGTCTCTAGTACTAGACATGACCAAAATAAAGCTACCACCTAATTAACCATTACTCCAACAGACTGCCATTCATAAGCAATACCACATCTCTTTTAACTCTGTTCTGAAGGTTTTGAGGGCTGTTGCTACTCTGAGTTACCGTGACACAGTAATGGCTTTACCACAGCTACTGTGTGGTAGCTGCCTCCCTGGGAGCATTGCGAAAACTACCTGCTGTCCCAGTTGTAAATATTGACTTCAATCTCCAGCATGGTCTGTGAGCCTCTAGCCATGCAACTGCCTTAATGCAGGTGGAAGCCCCTCACCCACATAAATGTATGTGCATACAGCTGCTAGTGCAGGAACTTCAAGAAGGAGGTAATTGTTTTGCAGATACATGAGGAATCAAAATGTTCTTCTTAGACCAGCAGAGTCTGCTTGGGCCTCTTCTACACTCTCATATTTGACTGGCTTAAATCTATGCTTTTCATTTGCTGAGGCAGCCTGTTTGCTGGGCAGCCTGTTGCACGAGCAAGGTTTGTGTTAGCCTGAGCTAGCCCAAGGACCACAGACCCTGCATTAGTCATGAGCTCATTCAACTTTCATCTGGCAAGGGAGGCTGTTCACATCTGCAGTAGCACACACCACAGATCAGGTTCTCCTCTGGACACTAAACGAAGGTTTGCCATATCTTTACAGACTGATACGCTAAACTGTATTACTGCTCTTTTACACAGGGGAGACTGGTTTTGTCTCACTTTCTACTTTAGCTCTTTCTGTTCCTCCAGGCAGTTCCTGAGCTGGGCACAGGGCATTTGTAACACTTGGAAAACCCCTTTTTCACTGCTTTGTGGCAATTACTCAGGAAGTTAGGTAAGCCAGCATGTCTGTAACCACACGTATTTTACTGTCACAGACATGGCAGGGTTTAGAGAGAGAAGCAATACGTTTTATTAGATCAACAAACATCATTGGAAAGAACAGATGTGTTTTGAGGCATATAAACACTTTTCAGGTCTGAAATAGAAGCTGTTATATTCAGATGAAGAACAGCCATGCTGGGACAGAAGTTTCACAAGCATTTCTTTTGTTGACAGCACCAATAAAAACATTTACAAGATTACTGTAAACCCAGTTATATTTTGCCATCTGGCTCAGCCCCTCTGACAACTGAACCAACACAGCTACACTGAGCATGTGGGAAGGAAATAGTGGGGGAACCAGGGGGATAGAGCAGTGTTCAGGGGTTGAGGAAGTGTCTGCACAACCATTGTCAGATATGCTCAGAAATGTTACCTTCTGTATATGGCTCCATGTGAAGTTGCAGCAATACAATGCTATGGAAACCATACCTGCTGGGAAATGCTTGCATTTGGGGGTTTAAATAAGATTGAGGACCTATCCCCTCTTTCAAGCCTATCCTCAGTTATCACACAAGACAGCCTTCTCACTGCACAGCACTAACACTGTATGGCACACACCGGTCAGGCATATGAAGGCTGAAGCATTGCTCAGAGTAAGCAAGTGTGGCCTTCTGGCTGCATCCCTGAATGAGGAGTCAGGAAGCAGTTAAAAGAGAAATAAAAAATCGAAAAAAAAAAGACCAAGAAAAGCCACTAAACCTCAGGTAAAACCCATCCAAATCTAAAAACAAAGGAAATGTAAAACCCTTTGGTACAAAGCAAATGTCAGAGTGAGCACAACTAATGCTAGTCCTACACTACCTATTGATTTAGAATAGCTCCCCAAAGTTAAAAAGAATCCCCATGAACATTCCATAAACCAAGAGATGATTTATTTCTAGTGGAAACCCTTCCCATTCCAACGGGCCTGGACTGCTGACACGCAGTGTCATAACCCCCCAGCTGCAGTTCTGGGGGGTGAGACGGGGGCCACCCTTTCTCTTCCACCCTCCATGGAAAGGGTTGCTGAGGATGTGCCAGCAGTTCTCATGCAATCTGAGCAGCAGCAAACCCGCCCTGCTTGCCAGCTTGCAAACACAGCAGACTCTCAGGCCATTATCTTTATTTCAGCTGGCCAAATAAATCAGAACTAGACACCAGGGGGTAAATTTCTAGCACTGCATGTAATGGGCTAAAAGTCAGAATGTCCACGACTTAAGCACAGCTGAATGTCTAACTCACTGAGCTTGCTGCTCAGTTTACTCCTGTAATAAACACCAACAGCCTAATCCTGCAGATACTTGCTCAGCAAAATCCCCACTGGTTTTAGTAGGACCTGCACCCAAGGGAGTGTTGCAGTGCTGGACACCTTACAAGCTGAAGAAGGTAAGTTAAGTTAAGTAAGTGAAACTTTAAGCAGCCAGCATACGTTCACCCGCCACCCAGCACATCTCTCCCTAACACAAGTGGCAGCTCTGCCTTTATCACAGAAGCACAAGTTTCTTTTGTGCCAGATCCTCATCACCTCTTCCGTCACTTCCAGAAATGTCCCCATAGGCCAGTGGTAAGTCAGTCCCTTTCTTTGGAGCTCAGTATCTTAATGTCTGGTAAATTCTGTCCTATTACCCTTAGTTTTATGCCTTCATAAAGTATTAGGTTAAGTCTAGTCCACTGCTGCCTGTTTGGGCTCTTTAACACTCTTCAATAGCTGAGATGTTCTCCTGGGCAAAGTGAGTGCTTCAGCAAGAACTGCCTTGGTGTTTAGCACTGCACTTACTGCTGCCAGAAATGCTTTTTCACTGTATTATAAATCTGAGCTGGTGTCATGCCTTGTTCTCCGGTAGCATTTTTCAATCCACCAATGTAGCAGTATTACTGGAAATTCTTAATCTTGCGAATTGTGCAAATGATGGGTATTTTCATTAGGGAATAATGGGAACAGAGCTCAAAATCCCTGCTTCCCCTACACACCTTTTTGCCTGTCCACATTTGTCCTGAAGAATCTGCTCATCAGAATACAATCTTCAATAGGAACATGAGCATGTTTTTACCTAGTTCAGATGTGCTAAGTGATGCTTTGGCCAGGTCTGCTGTACACTACAGAGACTGAACAATCATCCGAAGCTTCAGAATCATAGGATGGTTCAGGTTGGAAGGGACCTTGAAAGAGTATCTAATCCAACCGCCCTGGCAGTGCCCAGTGACCTCACTCCCTGTTTCTCCCTGTTTCATTTAGCACTGTAAGCAGAACCTTGAGCACCAGCCATGCTGAATATCGCACACATGGTGTTGCATAACAGTGGGTGAGGTCCAGGTCCTTGTCTTCAGATTTGCACACTGGAGTTAGGATACAATTTCCTGAGATTGTGTGGAATTCCTTAATGCTCCAGGCAAAGCCAGACTACACAGACTGGGATAAAACGTAGCCTACTGATACTGCTCTTGGATGTCTTAATGACAGCCAAGACAGACTAAAGCCAAAGTTCAAAAAGGAGAGTTTAGATTCTGAGAAACACCCTAAAAACATGTTGTGTTCTAAACCCGGAGGCCCCGAGCATGTACATGGACAGTGCCAATGCTGGAAGCGTACCTTTTGTTGGAGGTGACAGGTATCCTCCAGCCTTTGATCTGGCTGAGCTCTGTGTCAGAGATCTCGATCTGCAGCGGGAGCCTGGGAACCCAGACCGTCACTTCTAATTGGGTGGTAAAATGCTGGTAAGTGAAGTTAACAATAGTATCCACTTTGCTTTTCATTTCCTTGCCATTAACGAAGATGGAGTCACAGCTGTCAGAAACCTTCAAAGAAAAAAGAAATAATTAGGAAATGAATAAAAGTTCCTGAGGAAGGCCAAGGAATGATGCGTCAGTCCAGAGACAGCGCTGATAATGTGAGCCATGCATACTGCATTTTCAGTTTCCTAATTGGTAGCAAACAGTGATAAATGGACCCCAGGGAATCAGTTCTGCTTTCCTCAATGGATACTACTCAAACTACAGATGTTATATACCCTATGTGAATCTTTTATGCGAGGCAGATTAAACTGTTCATGAATCAAACTCCATGTGCATCAAAGTTTATGTTTACAACTTGCTTAAAGAACGTGGAAAAAATGGGGCCATATGTTAGTAAGAAAAAGACTGACTCAGAACCATAAACCAGAATCCATTCCCTTTTCCTTGAGCACGGAACACTGAATGACAAAGATCCCCTCATGGCTCAGGAGCACAAGTGCAGCACAAGCATTAATGTTTAGAACTTCTCAGTAATTGTTTTAACAAAATGTATCTGCAGTTGCTTTGTGTCAGCATTCAGAATTACTGCCAGAACTAGCACGTGGGCTCTAAGCTACAGCTCGTCTATCCTCCTGGTTCCAGGGATCCTTCGGCACAAGATCAAGGTCCTGAGCACAGATCCTGTTTATGTAAAGGCCATGACATAGCTGTGTATTTGACCTGCACCCTGGAAAGAACTGCTTCAGGAGGTATGGGTTTAAATTATATTTACGAATGTGTGTTTTTATACCTTTACATTATATATAATACATTTAGATTAATGTATAACATGTTTGTTGATGTAAGTGCATACATACATGCATTTATACATGAATCTGGACCTATGTAAAGGTTTGTATTCTGCTTCAAAGTGAGAGAGAGGTGATAGTCTCCATCAGAGTCCATGAGCAGTGGTTTTAATGTTTTAAAACCATGGCTTACAAGATGTAGCTGTGTTACTGCAGTGGACTTCGTTCTTGTGAGGACTGTTCTGTGTCATGTGCTATAATGCATTGGGACTCAGATCTGAAGAGATTCTGGCTAAGCTGGTGATTAAATTCCGGTTTACTGGAATTACTGAGATAGCTCATGTAGACTTCAGTGGGGAACATGCTGAAACACAGGCTGGTTTTTGCTCTGCAAAGGTTCCTCAAATCTCATATTAAAAGGAATTAGGGGTTACTGAGCCCAGAAAAATTACAGCAACTGTGTAGCAGCCTATTTTGTTCCCCAGAGTCAGGCCTCCTATCACATGTGACTTTGAAATGTAAGTCTTGTTCTGCTTTAAACCTCAGAATTGCATCATTTCTCTCTCTATCTCTATCAAGGTATATAGCCGTTAGATGAACAGTACCTGAGCTGCACTACCATGCCAACTTCTACTATCAAGGACAGAAGAGGAAACTTTTGGGAAACACTGTACCAGCTGGTATGTACCCACTGAACATTGACTGTTGCACACTTAATGAGACCAGGCAGCCAAACCTTTCAGATCGTCCCTTTGCTAACGCCACTGTACAATTAACATAACTCCTTTGTATTAGGTAACAGCTTTGCTAAAAATACTGTCAAGTGCTTTGAGATCCTGGTTAGAAAAGCTCACTGTCCAGTGTTTCTCCCTCCACGTGCAATACCCAATATATAAAGTAAAAGAGCTGCACTTCCACATTTGCCATTTCCAGATCAGCTTCTTGGATCCTAATCAATGTACTGAAACTCCAATCAACTACTTGTTTGCAAAGGGACCAAGCCAGGTTGTGAGGGATGGGGCAGAGGAAATCACGGCACTCTTCTGGAGAGATGCTCCTGCCTCAGGAATTTAAAAACAATGACAAATAAATCCAGTTATCTGATAAAGAGCTTAACATGGACTCCAGGCCCTGGAGAACCACAAATGAACCTCAGAACCCTTGTTTCCCCCTCATAATGTGTCATAAGTGTCTCTGGAAAGTTTAAGCCCATTAAGCAAGCCCATTAATTGAATGAACAGTTGAGATTCTAAATCATAAAGCCTACACCTAGGGAGTTTTGTGAAAATTAATACAAGACAGAAATAATTACCAAAACTCAAAGAGGGAGGGATAAACATCAAGACTGGATCAGGGGAATAACTAATATCTGACATGACAGCAGCTAACATTTTAGATTCTCTTCTTGCTGTTTAAAATGTTCTAGACTTGCCAGCAGGCAAGAAAGGTGCTAAATTAGGGAACTGAAACATAGACTTTAATTGTAGCTGTAAAAACATCAGGCTAGGCTTACAAATCTCACAGATTAAATGTCTAGACAGAGCCATTCAGCCAGTTCTATACCGACCAAGAGGTAAGTAGAAATCAGGATATATAGCTACACTCTGCAAGTTCACCCAGCAGCCTTGTGGTGCACTTAAGTGTATCTTCCAGAAAATAATCCAACCTTGGTGAGGAAACTTGAAGAGATACATTGTCCTTTCAGTTCTGTATCTGGAATTTGGGTTTACTCTGTTAGATACAAGCAAACCAAAGAATTTAAAGGAAAATCATGAGTCCTTGATGGGAAGCCATGACCACTGTTAACCATTTGGGCTAGACTAAAGCTCACCTGAGGAAACCTCTGTTATCTAGTTGAGGTAATGCTTTGTCTAGAAAGGCTGGGCCAGATGATCCTTGAGATCCCTTCCAACCTGGTATTTTATGATTCTACAATCCATACATGCTGGGCACTCTTATTCCACTTGGGATCTACAGCAGGCCCAGAACAAAGAATTAGTTTCATCCGTGTCTCAAATGAGAGCTGTGATTTCCTGCTAACAGCATTCTGACACCCCTCCAGAGTGAAGAGGGAATGAGAAACACACATTGGGTTTTGGGGACTCAGTGCCAGCTGTATTCTCTGGCTAATGGCCTACAGCGAATGTTCCCCTTCACTTTCTCCCTCCATGCTTTTCTAGTCGCACTATGATTGATTGCCAAATGTGGCTCGTGATGCTGCTGGAAGGGTTAGGGTTAGGGTTGTACAAGTTTGGGGAGGGCACAGCTGTCTGCAGCAGGAAGTGCTCAGGTTCACCACGGAGGAAGCTGACACAGCAGGGTGACACAAGCACAGTTACATCAGCAGTAACTTAACACAGATTTCTTTTGGGCTGCTGCTTTTGAAGAAAGAGGGGAAATGCTGCAAACATAAATCTCTCCTGCACAGTGAGAGGGCTCAGGAAAAGCTTAGGCTGCCACCCTCTCATCTAAAATGCAGAGAGCAAGCCTGTTTAAAGCAGTCTGTCACCATCCATTGTCAGCTGCCTGACTAAATCAGGAAGTGCTGTTTGAGACAGGTTGCAGCCAGGAGGGCAGGATGGCTGGGATGTGCTCTGGTATGCAGGTCAAGAGAGGAGAGCTGTAATTAACCTCTGCAGGCTCTGGAGCAGGTGGTTGGATCCAGTCCCCACAAGTAATTGTAAAAAGCACAATTGGCCCTCTACAGCCTGTCACAGCCTCCTCGTTTTAGACTATTCCAGTACAAAAGTAGCTAGCAGTCCAAAACAGTAATTGGGAAAGCATTCAATGGTCAGGTCAGCAAAGGTTTATACACCCTTTGAGTGAGCAGGTAAAACAGAGGGAATGGGAACTGACAAGAAAACAAGTAACTACCGCCTGCTGCGTGGTTCTCCTTTACATGCAGGTTGTATTCCAAAGCTCCTACCTTACCCTCAGCTTGCAGGAGGACTGAATAAGCCCTCACACTCGTCCTGGCTGCTATCTGCTGAGGAGTTCGTTGGTTAAACAAGAGCTTGCTGCTGAATGCCTGCTTGGCATCTCTCCACAGAGGAGAGAGCAACAAGGCTTTGGGAGAGCCCTGCCACATGGGCACCTTCCCAGCACAGGCCTTACCTCCAAGTTCATCTTTTCCCACCTTCAGACATACACTTCTCACCGATACTCACATGAACGGTCTGTATGAACATGTACAACGAATTTTAAAGGGAAAATGCTACCCAAAAGGGATTAACTCTTTTTGTGTAATTTGGTGTGAAGCAGCAGTGACTCAGTGGGTGCAGGAGTGATACCAAGCACAAACTGTCCTATGGCACTTTCGGCTGTGAATTTTTGACATGCAAAACCTGAAAGGATGTTGTTATTTTTACAACCCATAGGAAACTGAGGCACACACAGTGTGTACCAGAACTGCGTCTAACACACAGTCTCTGCAGCTGAGTGTTACAGCTATCTGGTTATCTAGTCAGGTGCCCAAACGATTTATATTTCAAAATCACCCTTAGAAAGAGGTCCCATTTACACTTGCTTCCAAAAGATCCTCCCCCAGTAACTCAGCAGAACCAGCCTTTACAGGAGCATTTCTGCTGAAGATGTACCTGCATTTACAGATTCTCACGTTTAATGGCACAGATGAGCAGCCGCTTCAGTCTTGTAACCCTGTTTTGTTTTTTTCAGCAGCAAAACCCAACCTTATTCCAGTCCCTGCCTGAGAAAACGCCGTTGCTGATGCCCAGCACTCAAGAAGGAGCTCAGAGCATGGTCTGGCAGCAGCCACCAAAGTCCTCTGCAAACAGGCCCACCCAGAGTCCCTGTGGAAGAGGAGGAGGGGATGACAGACCAGCAACTCGCGGGTGTTTAGAAGCGGGCAGAGGAACAGTGCACAGTGAAGGTGTAGGGGATGCAAAGTCTCACTATTGTGGCTGAGGCTTTAAAGAGAACAACTGTAACAAGATTTTAAAGTGAATGGTGCCTGCAGTAAATGGCTCATTCTCACAATAATCTTCAAACTGTAATTTTGTGGTATTTCCTGAAGCTTTCTTTACCTCCTTTTCTGCAGCATTGTTCCTAGCATTGTCTTTTCAGCCCATTAAGGAAGTACTTGCTGAGCTACCTCAGACCCTTTCATCTGGCTTGGATAATTCTGTACATTATTTTTGCTACACGTTTGCTTTAGAAGCACAGTCTGAAATTACCTCCTCAGCCTGAGGAACCTGGCTTAGCGTTTGGGTAACAGCTGAAGACAAAAAGGGTAATTATTCTTCTTCCCTGTCCTCT